TAAAACAATTTTCTATTATATAATTTTGATTAAATATCAAAGATATGACCAACTTCAACTTTACTTGAGTTGAGTCCATTCATTTATAATAAATAACGAATTTTTAAAGGTATAGGCAATAGTGTATTTATTATATTTTTTATTAATTAATAAAATAAAAAAATAAAAATTAAACATAATTTTTTCAAACATTTAGTAAAATTATTTCATAATATTAGTATTGAAATTAACGTTTATTTTTATAATTTTTATAACATTAAGTTAAAAAACAAAAATTAAATATCTTAATATTTAAAATATGTTAAGACATTTAATTTCTTTTTTTTTTTAATTTGTGAGTGGGAATATACCTACTATATTTAGTATGAGAAGTCTTTTATAACAAAAAAGATGTGATCATTAAACCACGAAAACGTTCTCTTAATACATTTAATTTTAATCACATCATGGATAAAACTTATGCATGATCTACATTATATTTTATCTATTATATAATTTTAATTAAATGTCTTGATATTTTTAATGATAAAACAATTAATTTTTCTATATCCTCAAATCAAATTATGAGATGTTGCACTTTTAATCTTACAAATTAAAGGTATAGATTAAAAAAATCTTAATAACAATACCAAGTCCCATTTATAAGAGTTCAAGTTAACTAGGCCTCTAATAGGCCTTGCCAAACCTTCTTATATTTGGATCTTAATGGGCCTAATTCGGACGGGTTTTAGTTTCGAGTCTCGACTTTCATGTTTTCGGCCCGAAAGTCGCGAGGCCGACTATCTGAGAGTCACGACTACTTCAGTGAAGCAGGTCTTCGCGCAGTGCATCGAGATCGAGCGAGAACCACAGATCGCCTGAGATGGAGACGGAAATGGGGTTTTCACGGTTTGCTTTATTTCTCTTTACAATTGCTTTACTCTCGTCGCCGGTACTCTCCGATCTGGTCCTCTCCAAGGTCGATCGGCGGGTAAGTTCCATTTTCTAATCTAATTTTGAGGTTCATTTTCTCTGATCCATCACTTCAAGCTCGATACTTGGCCTTTCTGAAGACTTTTTGAGACCTGAGATTCCATGCTACGTTTAATTGAATTTAATCGTCTTCTCTAATCGAATTTGTTTTCCTTGTGTTGCAGATTTATTTAACATCACAAATTGTACGATACACAGCAACTTTGAGGGTAAGCTTGAATAAAGCTTCACTCTTTTTTCTCTCCATGAAAGTTTTTACTTGATGATAATGGGGTTTTTTTTAGTGTATTTGGTGATATTAGGAATTGATTTTTTTTTTTCCTGCATCTGGGAAATGTTCCCTTTACATTTGATTTGGATTCTTGTCGAAAAAGGATAAAAATTTGAAAATTTTGTATGTTTAACTGTTATCATCAATGTGTTATAGGTGGAAAATGAGGGTTCTGAGTTGGTGTCGGAGGTTTTATTGGCATTCCCTGAGCTTCAAGCAAAGAACTTGGCATATTTGACGGTTTCAGTTAATGAAGGGAAAGGCAAACAGAAAGTTTCCACTGATGACCTCCCTATTGAAGTTGTTAGTCCAAAGAATATGCCTCCAGCCGTATCTTTTTATTCAGTAACTTTACCGAAGGGGTTGGCTCCCGGTGATAGCTTGACTTTGGATGTCATGGCTGTATTTACCCATGCTTTGCAACCTTTTCCTGAGAAAATCACTCAGGCTGATATTCAGCTTGTAGTGTTCCAGGATAGTGCTTACTATCTCTCCCCTTATGCAGTCAAGGTTCAATCACTCAGTGTTAAGCTGCCAGAGGCTAGAATTGAATCTTATACAAAACTGGAGAATACAAAAGTTCATGGTTCAGAGATCAAATATGGTCCTCATGAGGATCTCCCTGCTTTCTCATACTCACCCATCGGTATTCATTTTGAAAGCAATCAACCCTTTTCTAATGCTCAGGAAGTGGAGAGAGAGATAGAGATTTCCCATTGGGGAAATGTGCAGATCACTGAGCATTACAAGCTTATCCATGGAGGTGCACAGAGCAAGGGGGAATTTTCCAGGTTTGTTCACATATTCTAATGAGTTTTTATAGAAATTTCTGATTGCAATGCTAGTTTGAATTTTGTTTCTCACTTGTTGCCTTGACAATGCAGGCTTGATTTCCAGGCTAGACCAAATGTTAGAGGTGCATCAGCTATCAGGTATCTTGTTGCAACTTTGCCTCCACGAGCTCATTCTGTTTATTACCGGGATGAAATTGGCAATATATCAACTTCTCATCTCTGGAGTGACTCCAAAAAGGTAAGTGATTCATTTTATGTATAGAATTTTGATCTTAGATATGCTTTGCTAGTGTAACTAAGCTGCAATTTTTTCCCTTTTTTTTTTTTTTTGGGCAGACGGAACTACTGATTGAACCAAGGTATCCAATGTTTGGTGGTTGGAGAACTGCTTTTACCATTGGATATGGTTTGCCACTTCAGGACTTTTTGTTTCAGTCAGAGGGGAAGCGGTTTCTTAACATCACATTAAGTTCTCCAATGGTTGAGTTGGTGATTGATAAACTCATTGTGAAGGTTGGTAATGCTATAATATTTTGTTATTGGATATCTTTCTCTTTCAATGAATTTTCAGTCATACGAGGGATATGTGAAAGAAATGATAAGGGAATCCCCTGCCTTATGGTTACATGAACAGTTAATGCATCTCAAAATTGGCATGAATACATAATATTTCCTCCCTTGTTTTAGATTCATGGGAAAATACCTAAATCAGTTTTTGATACTGGATGATTGCATGTGGTTCCAAGGGGTACAGTATGCTGCTGCATAATTTTGTCAGTTATAGTGCGGGTTATATACATCTGCTTGGAATCTTTGCAAGTTTTAATTGGAGTCTGGTCTGGCAAAAGTTCCTTTTCCAGCAGCCTTGACCCAGTATTTTTGTGTTTTCAGGTTGTGTTGCCTGAGGGTTCCAAAGATATTTCTGTTTCAACGCCATTTCCTGTGAAACAGTGGCAAGAGGTATTAGGAATTTTGTGCTTTCTGTTGCCAGTTGACTGACAATATGGTGTACACCCCTTGGGTTTATTTAGAAATCTCTAGTCTTTTTTCTCATGCATATGGTTTAATGCAGACCAAAATTTCCCACTTGGATATTGATGGTAGGCCAGTGGTTGTGTTGGAAAAGACCAATGTTGTGCCAGAGCACAATAAATATTTCCAGGTAAAGCTTTCTGTACTAGCATAAAAAAGACAAGTTATTGAACGTCAGTTTATTACAATATACAAATAAATTTGTCATCATCAGATCTTATAATACATTTTATTGTAATATTTCTTTACTTTTCAGGTCTATTACAAGTTCAACAAACTTTCAATGCTTAGAGAGCCGCTGATGTTAATCTCAGGATTTTTCTTTCTTTTCGTTGCTTGCATTGTTTACACACGTGCTGATATATCAATCTCCAAGTCTTCTGCTTCTTATTTGGCAAAACAGCAATGGGAAGAGGTGTGTTGGGTGTCAATGTACCATCTACTTTGCTGATGCCAAAATTGTCTTACTCTCATACAAGTTCATCTGTTAGAGGTACTGTTTTCCATAATTTCAGGTTCAGGCTGCAATTCAGCAGGTCGAAAGTATTATTAACCGATGCTTAGCAACACATGATAAGCTGGAGGCATCTCTACGTGATCTTTCGAGGACAGGAGATGTTCAAGCTTGTAAAGCTGCTCGCAAAACAGCTGATGGCTTGCTGAAAGACCTCTCAAAGGAACTGAAGCCGTTGCTGGCCTTCTTACAATCTTCTCCTTCAGCTTCTCAAATACTGCCCAAGGTTGAACTCCTCCCTTGCCCATTCTATTTTACTAATGTCACAGTTTCTATGGGTTTCAACGATCATTTCTTTATTGGTTTTGAATCTGCTTGAATGCTTAACCTGAAAGATAGCAGGTTATATGACAACTTCAAGTTATAGATAAAAAAAAAAAAACAGTGAATAGACTTGTTGTAGACCCCTGAAATGGATATATAACTGGAAGACAAGATGGTTATGAGTTAGGATGCTGTTAGTGTTGTGATTAATCTGTTTTGGATGTTCATGTAGGTGGAGGATCTTGTGGCCAAGGAGAAAGAATTGCAAGAGAGGGTAATGACGAAGCACTCCACTGTAGTGGATGCCTACGAGAGGAAGTCTGCGGGTAAGGATATTGAAAACCGGGTTGCTTTGCAGCAGCAGAAAATTACAGCCTTAAAGCAGGAGGTTGACGATCTTATGGAGTACATTGATGAAATATGAAACAATTATGTTACTTATTTTAGTACAAGAGGTGCCCCCAATAGTTAAGACTTTACAATTTGAGAGTAGTAGAATTTGAGAGTGGTAGTGATCAGAATTTTGTTTCAAGATTATCGACAGTGTTAAATTCGGGAACATACGCTCTTGTTTTCTTTCTTTTCCTCTAAATGGTCCTTTTTTCTATTTTGGTCATTTTGGACAATTAAATACAATTCATTCACGAATTTAAACTTTGATCTCTGCATGAGAAATCTGTAACAAGTGACAAGCATAAACACAACCATGGGGCTTTTATCTGAAGTGTAATGAGAGTGGTACAGAAGTGAGAACAAATGTAGCAAAATCTTGTTCGCAATAGATGCTGTAAGCTACAAGAAAGCATCTAAATTTGAAAACAGGAGACCCTGTAAATTTGCAAAGAAAATCTCAGTCAATTGGAATTTGGAAAGCTTAGACCTTCAGTATTCACATGCTTCTCCACCCTCTAGGCCTGGATGCTGGTACTAAATGCTAGGTTTCCTTTGCTTCTGGTGGCATCACTTGCAAAAGCTCGATATTCAGCTCAAATGTACCTCCTGGCTGCAGAATCACATGATAAGTTCAACTCCAAGTTTAACTCAGTATTACCGAAGAACAGAAAATTTGTTCATCATTGTCAAGAGGAAGCTGGAGCTGCTGTAGGGCCTTACCGGAATCTCATTCATTCCCTTCTGCCCATATCCAGCCTCTGGAGGAACAATGACAGTCCTCTGCACAGAAAACAAAACATTATATTTATATAGAAGACCAAAACCCAGAGACTAATACAAGAGTAAAAGAAGGAATTTTTTCAGTGATGAACCTTTCCCCCAACTTTCATCCCTTGTGTTATTGAGTACATAGCTGGTGGGGGTTTTGGAGCAGCCTGTGCAGAAAACAGACCATTTGGGTTGTCTACAAACTCCCTTTTCCGCTCTTTACCTGGACTAGCTCCAACCTTGAATTCATATGGCTGAACAAAACAGCATTAGAAAAAACACATCCATCTCATTGGATGAAGAACACTACAACTAAATTTTGGACATTCTGCAAACCTAGAAATGTAACTGAATTCTTAGCATACACAACCAACCTGGGCAATGCTACGGTTCCCAGCTAAAAGTTTGGATTCCCTACTCGAAACAACAGTAATCCCCCTATATATGCAGTCAAAGTGCACCTGATGAGGAAGAAGAAGGGAAGCAAAAATGGTAAATCCAGCAAATTCAGAAGCCCCTTTTCATTTTTGCATTTTTGAAGGTACCTACCTGTACAGTTGATCCTTTCTCAGCTACAGGACCCTTTCCTTCAACAACATCATAGTATTTCAACCCATCAGCTGTTAATTCAATAAAAACACAGCAAAAATGAATAATTCTGAACATCAATGCTTCTGGATTACCATTATGAACAAAAATGAAATGTGTATGTACCCAGATTGACATAATGCATGAAACATGAGCAGAGAAGGGGGAAAGAAGAAGCAACTAACGGCTAGTGAGATATTCTTCAATGGGGATGTTCTTCTTGCTGCGTCTCTCTCTGGCCTCTGAGAATTGTGGAGGTGAAATGAAGGTAAATGGTACTGAAGATACCAGAATTGCGCACCTTCTCGAGATGGGTATGGAGAAAAGAAGTTGCTTTACGTTCTGTTTCTCATTTCCGATGGATTTTAAGCTGATTCCGTGAAAATCAGACTTCCATTTGTGGAAGCTCCTTATTGTAGCCATGGATTAGTGCGTGAAGTAAACATACCTGCCAAGCCAAGGCTGTTAACTTGTTAGAAGAGAAGCCTTCCCCAGCACAAGCAAACACGTACCCCTATCCATTGTCAATTGGTAAATTACCATTTTATCCCTACTACTTTTTTCCTTTTCAATTACACCATCATTATCAAAACAAAATTGATA